AAAATCGCAATTAGATTATTTCCCCAAATCATGCAGCCCTACTTCACACCACTTATCTTCTTCGCTATTTACAACTGTGAAAAGCTATGATGCCGCATACTGTGCCAGAGTGCCCACAAACAGTTTCTTTCTTTGTTTTTATATCTTTTTTCAGTTTGTTCATTGTTTACTCAATCTGATTTATCTTAATATTCATACGTAAACATCAGCACATATGGCAGCAGATCTACCGAAAGATAGAATTGCTACAAATATTTGAGAGCACTGAAGTTTATTTCTACACTGTAATATTGGAACGCATATTATCCTAAAAAACAGTAACAACTCAGCTATACTATATGCTTTACAGATTGGTGCAGTGAAGTTAGCAGCCAAAAAAAAAACATGACTTTGAGACGAGGAAGTGGTCAAATGCTAACTCATTTCGGGGGTTAAAGGACTCGTTCCTGTACCACATGACATGAATCCTCATCAGTTTCAAAGTATTCACTAACACAAGACTTGTTCAATAAAGCTGCCTGGTTTCCTGGCCTGTTTCAGTTGGGAGCAGCTCATTTCGTTTTTCTGTGCATTGCATTGTGGCATTAAAGTTCAAACCAAAGGCACATACAAAAGTCTTGCCAATTTAGTTAGCATGCTGACACCATTGTAATGAAGTGTCAACCTGCTGAATGCTCTGAACCTGCTCAGAGTATGAAGTATGGAACTGGGACACAGCTGGGATCAGACCCCAGGTGGATCTGAGCCGAGCAGCTGACCGCTTTACGGCACGGAACACAAGAGGGCCTTCGTTAGCTTTGGTAAACTCAAAACTGTTCCTTACAGCCAGGCACTAATACCAGGTCTGAACGGCCAGTGAGAAAATCTCTTCCGACATGCTTACCCTTATCGAACCAAAGGCATCAGAGAGGGGGAGTGATAACAAATATAATTGGGCTTTATGGTTAATGTAGTCCCAACTGCTCTACTAGCATTAGCTCCAGGCTATCTGTGAGCACAGTCCTGCTGGTTGGATCAAAATGCAAACATCTCCAATTATACCTTTGTCAAACCTGCAATAAGTGTTGTTTGCCACATGGGGGCAGCAGAAACAAGCTGTGAATACAACATTAGCAAATCCTTGCCTTTAAGTTAACTTGGTGAACTTGTTAGCAAACATTTGCTTACAGAGCAACATGTATTCGTGTCACCTGATGGAGGACCAATATTCAGTCTCTTTTAGCTCTGCCTGGTCAACTCCTGAGGGAAATATCCGTCTCTGTAGCCATTAAACATTCCACTCTGTCCACTAGCCTCTCACTGTGTGTGCTGCTGAAGGGTGCAGCTGGACAGTGAAGCTCACCAAAGCCTCCACAAATACTGTCTAACCAATACATGTTATTCTCTGGGCTGCAAAGCTTTGTACATTCAATATACCATGTAACCAGTTCATACAAATACGATGAAACTGTAAGTATATAGAATTATCTGTGTATAAAATGAAAAATGTGAATATTGGTGTGTCCTATGCACATGAGGAATATATAACCCAGATGACAGTCCCCTCACACTGGAACAAACCTAGCAGGCTCTGAAGGAACATTTCAGTTCATATTAGATTTCAGTTCACGCCTACCTCATAACTACTTTGCCATGATTGCATGACAACACTGTGAACCATGTGAAAGCAACATTCTGTGATGTTTGACTCTTTGTTAATATGTGCAGTCAAGAAGACAATGCAAATTAATGAACGGTTGTTTTAGCGAGAGGCCTCAATCTGACATTATGATGGCTTTACACCAAGAGAAATTAGTGTTGTTGAAAATGTTTCATAGTCACTACACTGAAAAAACTGGAACGTTGACTTTAATTAAATGTATAAAATAGAAATATCACATAACTGTATAAGATTAGTTGAAAGCTAAAATATTAAGTTAAAATTAAAAATATTAGGTTTAACGTAATATTATTGCTTTCAACTAACCTACAGTTATGTGAAATGTGTTGAAATAATACATTTCAATCAGGCGAGACTTCATTTTGTTTAAAGAACATGTATTGACACATGCCATATGATAAATATGACATTGGTGATTAGATCCCGATCCTGAAATCGTTTATCTAAAGGGGGAAATGCAGCCGTGAGCATATAGGGAACCCCCCCGGGGTCTAGACACTGGTGATGATGCTGAAGATCTGGATTTGATGAGGAAATGGGATTAAGAGGATACTTAAGGTCTGGATTTGATGAGGAGGTGGGATGAAGAGGAGGTGTGATGAGGCCTTTGGATTAGCTCTCCTGGCACTGGACATGATGAAAGGGCTGGATGGGGAGGAGGCGGGCGGCAGCATGAAAACCTGACATCACAGCTGACTGCAGGAGAGAGGAGAACCATTTTAAAGTTTGACTGCAGCACGATGATTAGCTGCTGGAGAATGAGGTGAAATGTAATAGGTTAAAAAGAACGCCTGATGAGCTGATTACATGCAGCTGCGGAGTGAATGTATATACACACCCAGTCTTCCTGAAAGAACTTGCGCTGAACTTCATTTAATTAAAGTCAACGTTTCAGGTTTTCAGTCTGTGGTTATCAATTCCCTTCCCTTTGCTGGCAGTGCTGCTGTAACAGGAACAAATGATTAGACAACGTACAAAAGTCGCAATGTTAGAATACTTTGATTGCAAACAATATCATTGATAAATACATAATCAACGTTATTAGAGCCATACGGTGCTAAAAGCTGGCCATGTGACATTTGAATTGATTTGCACTTTCTGCTTGTTTCTGCTTTATTTAAATTGTATTGAACAATATCTGTTGATAATGGTGACCAAATATGTAACAAATATGTGAACATATATTTTCACTACATCAGAATCCAATGATGTAATTCAATTGTTCTTCAGAACATTTCCAGATTGTCTGCCTTGACTTCCCTAAACGCATGAAGTATGATATCAACCTTTCACTCACTAACGTTAAAACACTCTTTGATTAATAAATAATATCTGTTTCTTAAATTGTTTAAAATGTATCTCTGTACAAAGGCACATGTAGCACAATTAACACATTATTCCATGCACTGTAAAAATGACCAAATTAGCAACTTATTTTATTATTTACTCCGAAGGATGTTAAATGATTTGGTCTTGCCGACATATTTATTTATTTTTGTATTTATCTTTTTTTGTATTTATTTATGTACAGGCTGCTTAATATGTTACATGGTGTAGTCACAGACCTGATCAGAATTGAACTGCAAACAGTGAACATGTTGAGAGATAAAGTGCTTCTGGAGTTTTCCTTCATTGATCCTCCTCGCAGTGCGCTTGTGTTTTCTATGATGTATGCACTTTAAAGCCACAGTTGAGTGAAATGATATTCAAAAGAAGTGGTGTGTACTGCCATGGTGAGCCATGGTTTCTTCATATGATAATACATTTATGTGTGATGTTGTATGTGTTGCCGTCTAAATGTGAGGTTCTGTGTTTGAAAAATGAAGAAATAAAACTCATCTATGATTAAAACATGGAGTCTGGTTTGTCTTTAAGAGACTGCTGATGTTCTCTTATATCATTATAAAAAATGATATGCAAAACCCCACTTGCTCAGCATGTGCACATTCACTTGGGGATCTCTAGACAGAGTACCAACTCAGAACATGAAAGTAGACAACCCACTCACTGTTTTGGGGGGCTTCTATCAGAGAAAAGGGGATTCAACAAGCCATTCACACTTGTCTCTGCTTTGTCACATGCAGGCTGATTGAATTCACCTGCATCCGTTTGCTCTATACTACTACTAATAATAATACATTTGATTTATAAAGCGCCTTTCATTGCTAACAGTAATCCCAAGGTGCTACAGGAAGAACACCAAAGAAGTAAATATCTCACTTTTGAAGTTTCATAATGCTTTACCAGCCCAGCAGTTCAGTCCGGCTTAGCTTTGGATCAGCGGGTTGCTGGTTCTAGTCCTGGACTGGACCATTTAGTCCTGGACCGGACCATTTACAGAGCGTGGACTGGTACTTTGAGAAGTGCCACTTCATCTATTTTGAACTACCAAGGTGCGTACTTTAGCAAGGCACCAGACCCCCACACTGCCCCTTTACAGAGTAGTACCCTCTGCTCCTAATACTGGGATGGGTTCAATTCAGAGTATAAATGTCCCCATGTGTGCGCTGCTGTGAACATTTGTGACGATTGCATGTGGATGCCATTACATTTCTTCATTTGGTTTGTTCAGCAGCTAACTGTGTGTCTGCTGTTTGCTGCTGAGCAGGCAGTCTGAGGTGGGCTGTTGTAGTTCTCTCTGAAATGTAGTTGTTGGGTCATAAAAGGTCATTCTGATGACTGTTTGCCAATAAAAGCAACATATCTTACTTTAGCTCGGTCAGATATATGCTAACTTTCTATCCAATCCCCACAATACAAAAAACAATGTTCAAATCAAGCAAAATATTTTTTAGTAATAATAGGATCTGGAGATTTTATTTTTTTGCGAATGTTTTATTGGTACTCTCGTGACACATACAAATAATCATTGATTTTGAATGATTCCATAAACAAGCTTTTTTTTAAAGATTAGCTGAATCTGGATTTAGAGGTGAGTTTGCCCATGTTGATGCAGTGTCATGGGGCAGCCACTAGGGGTCACTAAACACTTCATTTCCTGTCATTTAGTGGTTACTTTCATTTGGTCCTGATAGAACATGAAGGAAAGATAATAATATAAAAATAATAATACAATTGTGTTTAGAAGAAACAGTGTGAGGGAAACAGGATTTACATGACAGGTTAAAAAAGGAATTAGAGGGTATATTTGTGAGAGAATGTTACACATTGAGTCTGCACTACAGTTTAATCTAATACAGAATAAGATATTTAAAAACTAAATTGTCCATAATTCTTGATCTCCTGGTGATTTTTGGACCACATTTAAACGCATGGGATTAATGCACTGGTGGCTCACAGTTTTATGTACAATTTGACCTAAACTTCAACTTTTATTTCCTTTTTATGATGCTTTATACTATGCCGTACATGCTTTTCTACTACACTAAAGTTTTGAGCCAATTATTGTACTTTTTGTTCCTTTACATTCAGTTTATTTACTGTAGTTATTATGCAGGCTTATGTCAGTAATACAAATATAAATCAACTAATCAAATAATGCACATATGGATGTGTAACCAATAATGTATAAATATATATAATATGTTATTCTGAGAATAGATCATTCTTCATGATAAGTACTTTTAGTTTTGATACTTTCATCATATTTTGATGCTAATGCTTTTGTACTTTTAGTCGATTTTTGAATGAAGGACTTCTCCTATTAAAAAAATAGACTACACTACTTTTACTAAAGTAAAATATTTGAGTGCTTATTTCAACAGTTGAAAAATGTGAACAGGTTTAAAATTCAGATATTAAAGACATAGAGGTGTTAGAACAAGCAGCACAACAAACATTAACGCTAATGTGAACATACAATAAGAAAATAATGACAAATACAATGTGAACAAAGAGAAAAGGAGAGAGTCCAGCTCCCTAAAGACACACATCCACTCATAGAGACACACACAGAAACACACACACACACACACACACACACACACACACACACACACACACACACACACACACACACACACACACACACACACACTAAACAGGTGTGGATGACTGAGTTGAGTTTCTCTGTTGGCAGCATCTGCAGCAGAGGACGGTCGCCGTGACGATGATGAAGAAGACTGTGAGCAGGATGAAGATTATACCGACCCAAGTGCCCAGGTACAGCTCTGCACGGGGGGGGAGGGCACAGTGAGACAGGTGGAGCTGTCAATTATCAGTCTGATCACAGTTTCTAGCCATCTGTTTACAGTGCTGGACAGTTACTACCATGTACTCAGTACCGCAGTACTGCATCTAAGTACTCCTTTGAGGTTCTTTAGTTTTTACCTTTTTGTAATATGTTTTACAAATAACATTATTTTACCTTGTATTCTGCAACATGTTTTGTTTGTGACTTTAAACATTCAGATACATACTAATAGGACACATTATAATATAATGTATCAATTAATATATCATTTAAGTTATTACAATAATTTATCATCATCATTTAACATCATTGAATTTCTTTCTTTTTTAAGCTAAAAAGCATTTTATTGTTTCCATGATGAAATTCAGAACTATAACCAGCAGAATATATTGTTAAATCATATTGTGATTCATACAAATCACTAAATATTATCCCAAAGTATAACATCAATTATTCTTAAATGGGTTCAGTATCTGGACTTTTACTTTGAATTATATTCTGATGCTTAAACCTTGCATCAAAGTTGTATTTTAATACTGTATTTTATTCTTGAAATATTACTACTTGTATACTACTCTCGTACTTGAATTTTCCATCCCACATTAACACAAAAAGGTTTCAGGGACGTTTCATTTTAAAGAAAAACATTTGCGCTTTCACTTTTGTACTCTGTTATTCCCACATTTAACATGAATTGAAGACACTGAGTGTCCTTAGCTTCACACAGTTCTTCAAAACCCAAGAGGATCAGCTGAGCAGATGTTTTGTGTTTGCCTTTAGGGACACACTGTGTTTGTGTGAGTCACTGTGACGGTGAACAAAACAATGTTAATTCCTAAAAAGGAATGAAGGAACTCTTGAAAATGACCACAAAGTACGTCAACCAGAGAGGCCTGTGAGCACCAAACTAAAGTTGTTGTTCTTCATAAAAGCCACACGCAGGACTCATGACCCGACCAGGCAACTGATGTGACACTGCTGGTACTGTGTGGTGTGTAGTGTGTAGTGTGTGGTGTGTGGTGTGTATAGAGAGCCGCACCATGCAGGATGCTATACACTTGAGGTGTGCACAGCTGCTGGCTCCACGCCCCCAGCTGGCTGCCTTTGGGTCTGGAGGGGATGAACGCTGCGGCCATGAAGCAGTAACTCTCTCCTGCATCCAGCTTCGACACCTCGGCCATACTCGAGTCAGATATGATGTCTCTCTGATAATAAAGAGGAAATATTACAATCACTCACTTAAAGCTTGGGGAGGTAACATTAGAGAAGGTAGCTAAAGTAAGCTACATTTAATAAGAAACACAACTAAAAAAAAACACTAAACTCGCTATATTTCAATAATAGTAGCAACACTAGCTACAGGTTGCTTACTGAGTAAAGCTCACTATCAGAACTTTCTTTTAAATCATCTTGTGTAGCTGCTCAATTTCAGTATAAACCTTAAAACTTGTTTTATTTGATATCTTTATTCATCTTTAGTAGGACGATGGAATATTTACCACATGTCTCAGTGTCTCAAAGATTAGCTTTGTCTTACAGTGACGACAGTTGAATTATCAGTGACGTTCATTTTGTTTAATTTAAAGTAATTTCTTGAACATTAATAGTTTCTTGGTAAAGCAGGTATCAATATTAATAAAGACATGGGAAGTTCATAGTTATATGCTGCTAAAATCTTGAAAGTTAGCTTACAAAATTCAACTTTCCATTAAAGCATGCAGCTGGTTAGCTTAGCTTAGCACAAAGAATGGAAACAGAGGGAAACAGCTAGCCCGGCTCCATCCGAATGAATAAAAAATAGCTACCAGCTCACTAAAGCTCACTGATAGACATCTTGTCTAAAGTAAAACAGGTGCCAGCAGGTGGACAGAGACACCCCTACCACCAGGCTTCATGCTAAGCTAAGCTAAGTCGCTCCTGGCTCCAGCTACATATGTTAGTCCTTGACATTTTATAAATCATAGTTTTACTAAATAGAGGTAAAAGCTTTACAATGTTTTGAAAATGTTGGTTTAAAGAATTAATAATTTTGTATGAAATATAAGTTTAAATTATATAATTCTATGGGATCAAAAGTTTTTTTTGTAAACAATTATGGTGATTAATAGATCAGTTGACAATTTGACAAGGAGAGTTAGCCAAAATGACGTGAATAAAGCACAGTGTTGGAGAAGAGCATATAATAAATAATATAATAAATACTAATATATTGTGTACATGTACTTATTTTGTAAAGCTTTCTTTAAAGCAAAGTTGAACCAAAAAGTGTTTGTCCCGTGTATAAACATTGTATCTGTGTCGGGTTGGATGACACAGCTCTAACATGAATATTTTAATCAACCATAATAATACAGTAATTTAAATTTGAAACATCGGTACCACTTCACAATAAGACTACCCTTATAAAAGGGTTTACGAATAGTTTGTAATTAATTTATTAATTAGGTTGTGAACACTTTATAAATCATTAATAAGCTTTTATAAGACATGAGATAAACAGGGCACCTGTGACCAGTTGCTTGCCAAATAGTGAGCCCACATTTATCTGTACTGCTAAGCCTTATATTGGCTACTTAGCTTACTTCGTCTTCTTCATCAGCCAGCATGGTATCTGCTGTTCACTGAGTCGATTCCCCCCCCTTCCATCTTGACGTTTCTTTATGAATGAGTTACTAACATTTATAACTGCCAAAAGGGAGCCTTATTGTAAAGTGTGAAACACATCACCATTTATTGATGAGTCACTAACATTTATAACTACTGAAAGGGTGCGTTCTTTTTAAGTTTAATACACATGTCCATTTATGACTGAGTTATAACATTCACGCTGACCTAATATACATTTTTCACATGAAATGCAAAGTAAGATGCAAAAGAGCCAAACAAAACATTGTATTCACACATGAAGAAAATCAGGACTCAAAGTAATGACTGTTTAGTATGACTGATACACATATTTAAACATAAAAGTTTTTCTCAGACATAAATGTAAGACTTGGTAAGGCATAATGGTATTCAGACTGGAAAGGCTTTGTGTATATCCTTGGACAAGCGTCCAAGCAGTCCATCAGGGTGAGCAGAGCCAAGCCAAGATGACCATTCAAGAACCTTGAGGTGTTCCTCCAACAAATATGCACACAAATTACAGTAAAATGTGTTGCACATCATTTTTCAAAATGCCATACTTGTTTATTAGGTGCATTGTATAACATAATTTAAGGATAATTATACAGTCATGGTCCATACTGATTTTTATTCTCTTGTACAAAAAAGCCCAGTCTATAACTGCCGAACATAGGAAATGGGTACAGTACCTTCTCCCAGTCAAAAATACTAAAATAAAATAGTTTACTTTATCAGCATTGGTGTTACCAATGCTTACTATTTATTTGATACCAATTTGGTAATACAATTAATAAAAAGAACAAGGTTTGGGTTTGTTCTTCAGACTGTGACGTTAATGTGTAAGCTCAATAATGAACTCCAGCTCAACCAACCATATTGTAATATCTAAGTAATCATCTTGAAATATGACATTATTATTTGTAATATACACACATCTTATTGTGAGGTTAATTTCACATACACTAGGCCGCTCTTCAACACTACTTTGGCTTTAGCTTGTCTACATAATCAATCATAGCTAATTTAAATTAACCTTATCAATGCATAAAGTTACCTACCTAATAAATATCTCTTAACTTACCAAGGGATGACCTTATTTTACCAACCCTCAAACGAGCCGTTGGTTCTTTATTATTTATCCCACTTAATGCTTAAGACTTCTCTATTACGTTTTAACTTGGATGCTACGATTAGCATCGTTAGCACAGACAACCACTTGCTTACATGCTAACCCAAGCCTTAACATTAATTAACGTTAGCTGACTAAAAACATAAGCAACACATAAATAAAGTACTCAAATTTCCCTTACCGTAAAACCGCCTTCATGCACCGTCTGTTTTAACCGCAGAGCGAATCACAATAGTCCGATATAAGAATGAAGAATAGTCCAAAAGTCTAAAGTGATTTGTTTAACACTTTACAATAAGGCTCCCGTTTAACAATTATAAATGGTAGTAACTCGTAAGAAATGGGAATGTGTTTTACACTTTACAACAAGGCTCCCTTTTGGCAGTTTTAAATGTTAGTAACTCATAAATAAATGGTCATAAAGAGATGCCAAGAAACATCAAGATGGAAGGGGGAGAATCAACTCAGTGAACAACAGATACCAAGGATGCTGGCTGATGAAGAAGATGAAGTAAGCTAGGTAGCCAATAGAAGGCTTAGTCATCTTGCCAAATAGTGAGCCTGTGTTGATGTATGAAAACTATGTTAGAACTGGTTTATAAATGGTTCTTAATGATTAATAAAGTGTTTACAACCTAATTAATAACCTAATTATAAACCCTTTCTTAATCCTTTATAAGGGTAGTCTTATTGTAAAGTGGTATCGAAACATCTAGCTGATAAATTATATTTATAAATCAAAAACGTTCAACGTACATTATACAACTGTTCATTCTCAGTGCTCAGGTGAGACTGTATGCCTGCGCTCTGCAGTGTCTCAGTGTGGTCTTTGCAGAGCAGTTCTGTACCTTGCCTGTACTTCCAGGCTTGTGGTAGCTGATCTTATACTTGAGGTCATTTTTGAGGACGTCTCTGAGGCTGAGCTGCTTCCCACGCCTGTGAATCCCGGTCAGAGGATCTGTGATGTTGACCATGACTCTGTTCTCATCCACAGCCTCCACCGTGATGTCCACCGCACTGATTTTACCTGAGGAGAGGACCAATCAAAGGGGACCATGAGACATGAGAGAGTTCATAAGAGTCCTATTCATAAAGCTGTGGGTCAGTACTATAGGCCCTTTTTTTTACTGTTGTGCTGGCAAACCACTTAATGCTTTGTCCTTCTTCTTTTTTTTTTAAAGAGGAGCTTCTGTGTCCCTAGAGTAGTGCAGAAATTAGTTAGCATGTTACCACTTCAGATTCCCTGGTCTCAAAATGCAATGGTATTTGAAGGTGTTTTGGCTGGAACCTGAAAGTGTGGTTAACACAAGCTGGTCACGTTTTGTTCCTCGATGTAAAATATATCAGTAAATACCCCATTGGTGAATGTCTGAAGCTTATATGTGTGAGAACACAGCGGTTGCTAACACAAGTGACTACATTTTTACTTCTGGATATTGCATTTAAGCCTCAGGAGGTCAAAAACTGGTGTTAGCATGTGGAGATTATCCTGCTGAACAAAAATGTGTGAGTATCATAAAAGTGCTTTCCAGAGATCTCATTCTCTGCAGAAATCCAATGGAAAAAACCCTTTTTGTAGAGGGGGCACAAGCAATGCTTTCTCAAGTACAGTGTCCCTGAAGGATAAATCTTCTGAGCAATTTTATTTTTCTATATACATGTTTCCCCAGTGGCCCATCTTCAGTCATCATTGTCTGCAAAAAATGATGTTCCCATGCAACCACACTGCTTTTGTCAAATATGTTTCATGGGAAATGTTTTTTCCAATAAATTACTATTTTTTTGGACATAGATCTGAAATACGTTTCTAATCAGGTTGCGGAAGTACATGTTCGCAGGAGGAAGGGGTTGAGGGGTTAGACTCTTGTGTGAAGTCCAATCTATGTTGATTTTGTATTTATTTAAATTAATTAACAAACATATCTAAACTACAATCTATTTTCTAAAACTGTCCGAGTAGTTTTATTTGTTTTGACAATTGCACGTTTAAAACGGCACCCAGTATCCGGGTGAAATTATGTTTCCCTCGGAACACTTTAGATAATGCAGTTATGTTGTATGGAATGTAAATAAAAAATAAAGAGGTCTTTGTCATTGGGTTCCAGCTAAGCACAAGGCAGATAAGCTGCCTGTTGCAGGAAAACACAGCAAGAATTAACAGGTCTGCTGCCTCTGACACTGCCTGCATGAAACTCTATCAGCTGAACGCCTCACACAGAGCAGGCTGAAGCTTGAAGGAAAAGCAATGGTTAACAATATGAAACCATTAATTCAACAGGTATGTGCCTGTTCACACAGTTATCTGTTGCTTTAAAAGATATTACCATAGCCGTGGGTGAGGCTCAGAATAGGGAAGGCTAATATCCAACTATCGTACTTGTTTAAAATACCACAGAAGAAGTAGCCTACATTCATTTAAAACAGCAAGTCTATGCACCTACTTACCAACAATAAAGCAGCACAGGAGCTACAGGGGGGTAATGAATGTAATCTACTACGTCGTGTAGGTTACTAGGCTACACCATAACGAGATGCAGTAATGCTGGGCTAAATCACTGTTACATAATTGAAATACAGGTTACTAATTGTTAACTGTTGTACAACAATGCAACCATCAAAAATGCATACACAAAGTTTATGACTACAAGTCAAACAACCACAGCCTAAGTCACAGGTAAGTCTGTGTGGATTTACTAAATACTGTAGCTGTGAGCTAAAATGCTAATGCAGAGACACTCACTGTCACTGTGCAAACATACAAACTACTCATACATGCTTTTAGCTGCAGCTCCAGGTACACAGCATGTGACAGAAGTTCAGACCTATCATACGCTGGAACTCGGTGCTAACAATAAAGATTCATCCTGTCAGACGGAGACAATAAGTGTTCTTTAAACCAGCTCTTTTGGTTTTAATGTTAGGTTAGCCAAACTTGAAAAGCTGCTCCTGTTTCTATGAGCCTCCCTATATGTGGTCAGATCAGTCTCAAAAATAAATAAATGCAGGAGGATAGACAAATGTAATTCCGGATTTATATATAAATGTCTCCATCCACACACATATTTTTCAATGCACACACAAAATCTTGTCATTTTATGAATGTAACAAAGTTTCACAAATATATTTCTGATCCACACACAAATAGTTACATCAAAAACCTATTTGAGTGTTGTTACATTTATATAAAAAACGCTTTCTGTGTGTGTGAATCTCTTTGCATTTGAGTGTGAATACCTCTGCATTTGTGTGTGGATTTTTGAGACTCCCCTGACGCCGCTAGATTCAAACATACATTTTTTTAATAGACGAGTCTCTCCGGCCAATCAGATGTCTGCTTCATTTTAAGCCAATCACATGTGTGTGTGTCCAAGAGGGTGTGCCTGATGCGCTTGCAATGTAGCGTAACATCTACACGGTTGGCGGAGTCTGGGGGTGTGACAGAGTCCGGGGGGGTGACAGAGTCCGGGGGGGTGACAGAGTCCGGGGGGGTGACAGTTCAAAGTTCATCTCCAACAACATGGGATCTGGAAGTGGCGCTCCCGCTACTACACATCTTGTTGTTAGTCATGCAATAATCTCGAATTATTAATTATTACTTTTGCTTCATTATGAAGGTAGCTCAGTTAGTTATTTATTTCCATATTTATTTATGCATTTATTCTTTTATTTATTTATTTGTGTATTTATTTGCACATTTCTGTATTTGCACATTTCTGTATTTATTTCCTCATTTATTTATTCCTGTATTTATTTATTTCCGTATTTATTTATTTATTCCTGTCTTCATAAATTTATTTTTTCACACATTTATTTTGTTATACTTATGTCATGTTCTGTCCTCCATAGCGAGGAGCGGACAGGCTTTCGCTCCTCGCAGCAGATCGCAGCAACGAGCCTCTCAACGTCACGACCAATCAGAGCACAATCGGCTCACAGGGAGGGGGGATTGGGGAGGGGGGAAGGAGCTCCATCAAGCCGTTTAGGACAGAGAGTGAATTCACATACTATACAGAGATGCTGTATGAGAAACCAATGTGAGTTTGGAAAATTGCTCAGTATAAATCTATTTGAGTATACCTCAACAATGGAATTATGATCAGTATAAATGGCCATGACATGGGAGCTTTAGCAATAGTAGGGATCTATTCTTTTGAGAAGCCTTTTCTATCCTTCATTACCCCTCGTCCTGGACTATAAAATAATTAGACTTATGGACAGTTTAAAAGTTCCTTTTAAGTATTTTATGAAATTTTACTGTGTGATTTGGAGTTTTTGAGCTTGAGCATGTGACACCTACTCTCTTTGTAGGGGTTGAAGGGATCAGAGTATGTGTGAGGGTAGTTCTCCAGGTCCTCATCATAGTCCACCAGATCAGGTTCAGTCTGGATATCAGCCGTGTAGGCCCTGCACAGGAAGAGAGGGACATGTCAAACACATTCAACATTCATGGTGTTTGGATTTTACACAGGAAGTAACACAACATCCTGAAGCAATATGGTAATATGCTCAGATATCTACAAATTAAAAAGGAGAAAGAAATGTATATTAAGTGAGTTTACTCAAACTAAGATTTAAAAAGATAGAAGAGCATATTTTATTTGGAAGACTTGTTGGTTTTATAGTTTTAGATATAGATGTATACAGTAGATGAGATTGTTTTACATGTAGATGATACATACTACTACTGGAAGACTCAGTTAAGTGTCTTCCCTTTGGTTTAAAACTAATTTTCACAGACCAACACTGTCGAGCTGTGTTATGATCCTGATATGAGTGTGTTAGTCATTGCCCTGACATCAGATTTAAAGATTTAACAAACTCACAGTTTATTAGCTTCATTAAAATGTATGATTATTAGGGCCGGGACTTTAACGCGTTAATTAAGATTAATTAATTACACAAAAATTAACGCGTTAAAAAAATTGACGCATTTTAATCGCACTTATTTTTGCACCGCGGAACGTTTCTCACTGGATGAGTTTCAGGGGTACCGATTATACTGGAGCACCAACTAACGTTCATGACTTCAAACAACAACAAACCACAGTGAACAATAGTCAAACATGAACGAACAAGCTGATGAGACCGCTTTGGTTGGCCCCATGGATGGGACATTTTGTTTTAAAAAACGGACGGATGGAAGCATCGATAAGAGCACGGTTGTTTGCAAATTATGCAAAAAGGAATTTGCATATCACCGCAGCACATCAAGCCTCAAGTATCACCTCAATGCAAAACCTATAGCAGCTAGCGTGGAAGCTAGCGTGGACGTTAGCCCGACTCGGAGTACAAGGA